CGTCGGCGTCGGCGGCACGGGAGGTTCGGGCTGCAGAGGGTCATGGAGGACCACGGGCATGAGAGCTGCCGCGGCAAGGACGCCTTCTGCGGCCAGTTCGCGGCCGAGCTCGAGGCGCGGGCCGAGCGGGAAGGTGGGAGGGAGCCCCAGCCCTTCCCGCCCGCACCGGCCCGGAGCGCATGCCTAGAACAGGGTCCGCGCCCCGGGGCCTCCCTGCTCGACCCTTCCCCTCGGGCCCTCCCCCCTCGACCCCCCCCGGAACCTTATCCCCTCGGACCTTGCCTCTTAGGACCCCTTTCTCCTCTCTCGGACCCCTCTCTCCCCTCGGACCTTCACCTCTCAGATTCCTTCCTCTGAGACCCCTCTCCCGGACCCTCTAGCTCCTCGGACCCTCCCCCCCCGACCCTCCCCTCGGACCCTTCCCCCCGAACCCTCCCTCCTCGGACCCTCTCCCCTCGGATCCTCCCCCCTCGGACCCTTTTCCCCAGACCCTCCCCTCGGACTCTCCTCCCCTTGGACCCTCCTTCTCTTGGACCCTCCACGCTAGAACCCTCCACCTCGGGCTCGGTCTCTGCCCTGGGGCGCGTTGGGGTCACGACCCCTCCTGGCAGGCAGGGAGGGCTGCTCGGAGGCGGAGGCCGCAGGAGCGGGGATGAGGGCTCCGCGGGGAGGGCGGGTGCGGGCAGAGGGCCGCCCGCGCAGCCGTCTGCTGTCTGCTGATGGGCCTGGCTGTCTTGCGGCGGCTGCTGAGAATCTTACCCCAGTAGGGATGACGGCCCTGTCGCCTTTCCGTGTACCCCAGCCCACGGCTGGCCGGCCCTAGTTGACGTTGGAGGAGGCCATTGCCAGAGGGGATGCTGCCACCTGCCCTTCTTTAGTTGAATCTCCGGGGAATAGCAGGGGCGGTGCCAGGAAGAGGCAGCTGGACGCTGACATCCAGAGTCACGGCCCCCTGCCCCCCAGTATGACCATGGGTTGGGTCCAGGGTATGCAGGGTGGACTGCATGGCGGGAGAAGGGTCTCTTGTTCCTGCCATATGTCTCTGCAGCCCTCAAGGTCAAACGGCCGAGGCTGGAGGTTGTCAAGAGGCTGAATTTTGGGCTAGAGGAGATAGAAGAGCTGTCGCTTCCTGACTCCCCACTGAGGGACATCACCCCTCCACTGAGTCCCGAGGTCTCCGCTGAGCTGTGGGGCCATGGGTGTGTTGCTTGGGACACCTCTGTCTAAGGGGTACCTGAGAGGATCCCATTCCCTGGATGAAGCCTGGGTGGTGGGGGCCTGTGGGAGGGCTCGATTGCCAAGGGTGGGTCCAGGCACTCTTGTCCAAGGGTGATGGGGTGGGAGTCCCCAATACTGAGTACCGGTCCCTCCCAGACCCTCAGATGCTGGTGCTGGCATGGATCTCACGCCGGCCTCACCAGCCATCCGCAATCCTGTCCTGAGGCGGCCACCTATCTTGGAGGATTATGTCAACGTGACCTCCACAGACGGCAACCGGGCCTTTCTGGTGCTGCGCACAGACCCCACAGGCACTGGAGTGCAGGTGGGTGCTGTGTGACCACAGGGTGGGCCTGGCTGTGGCCTTCCTGCAGGGTAGGGGATCGATGTGGCTTAGGAAAGGGTCTTGGGTCTTGCATCCTTGGCTGGGACTGCTGGCAGACTTGGCAGGAGCTGTCACCTGTTCACACAGCTGGGGGCTGGGGAGAGCAGAACTGCTCCGGAGGGCACGGCCTCAGAGGACACAGCCTCTCTACCCCTACTCTGCCCCTGCGTCCCCAAGCTCTGCGGCCTAGCTACCCGGGAGGCTGTGGGCATGCCCCCAGTGCATGGCGTAGGGGTGGGGAAGGCCCTCCTCCTCCCCTTTCTTTTTCTCCTTTCTTGTTCCTCTTAAGCCTGTTATCTCACCCCCTTAGAGCTGCTCTCGTCTGGGTGGCTTCCTTCCTTGGAATCCCTGATCACACAGGACCTCATCCACTTCCCTTGGTTGACTTGTCTGGGGGAATCCCTTCCAGGTTCCTGGGTACTGTTGGGAGGGGGGCTGCGGGTAACCCTGTGACCTGGGAGGGCGTCCAGAGGTGACTGTTGCCCTCCGTCCCCCACAGAGCCCTCTTCTTGATGTCTGGTGGCGAGGCTGTGGCCAGCTACACCTGCTGGGTGTGCCCTTCACCTCCCTGAAGGAGCAGGTTGACAGTGAGGTGGTATCTACTGGGGCTTGCTGGGAGGGGAGGGGGGTGCTGGGGTGACTGTGGCCGTCTCAGCTGTCCTGACCACCCACCCCGCCGTCCTGCTTGCATAGTGCCGGCAGCGACTGCTCGAGGATGCTCAGCAGCTCTCAGACACACTGCACAGGTGAGGCTCTTCTGCCCCTGGGAACCTCACTGTTCTTGGACCAACTACTAGCCTGTCCTCTGTGGATGTGGGGTCGACTTGGTTCCTGTGAGGGGTTAAGGCCTAGTGGCTCAGAACACGGTACTGTCCAGCCTCAGGCCCGAGGAGGAGGAGGCCCAGCCTGTGGGGGTCCCCAAGGAAGAGCCGGCTGACCACCAAGACTCCTCCCAGCACTGCCTCTGGGTGGACAAGTTTATGCCCCATCGCTACATGGAGCTGCTCAGTGACGACGTGAGGTCTTGCTGTCACTCAAGTGTGACTGGCTTCCCCCATTACCAAAAGGGAGGGGTCTGGGTCCCAGCCCATCTTTGTGTTGCCAGTCCCTGGGCTGTTGGGATGGAGCAGGCTTTGGTCTGCCTTGTTGAGTTGTAGATGGGGAAACTGAGTCAGCATGGGGCTGATTTGGTGCTGGTCACCTGTGGCCTGCTATGACCAGGGCTAGGGGTCCAGAGTGTCCCCTGCTCCGAGCCTCTGTTCCGTTTCCTGCCATTGTAGCAGCTGATGCTGTGATGCCCTGGGGAGGATAGGGGGCTTCCAGATGCATCTGAGTCAGGGCTGTGAGGACAGAGGCCCTGCTGTGGGCCCCACTCTGTTGCCTGCTGGCATGGTGACTGGGAGCTGGCCATTCATCATCCTGAGCCTCAGTGTCCCTGTCTGTGGCGGGTGACATGTGGCTACGGGTCCTTGGTACTGTGCCAGGCTGGTGGTTCCCTCAGGCCATGCCTCCCTTCCTGCAGTTCACCAACCGCTGCCTCCTCAAGTGGCTGAAGCTGTGGGACCTGGTGGTGTTTGGCCATGAGAAGAAGCCTGCCCGGAAGCCGAGGCCTGGTGTGGAGCCGACCCGGATTGGCAAGGAGGCCCCAGCCTCTGGCAAGTGGAAAAGCCATGAGCAGGTGCTGGAGGACATGCTGGAGGCCGAGCTGGACCCAAGTCAGCGGCCCCGGCAGAAGGTGAGCCTGGGGCCTCACTCTCCAGGTAGCTGGTGCCATTGCAGCCTCTGGGGTCCACAAGGCATGCTTATTTTCTCCAAGTGCTATGGGTATGGTGACATCAGGGTCTTGGTGTGAAGTAACGTGAGCTAGATCTTGAACTTGCTCCTCTAACAGCTTTGATAAAGTTACCATTTCTCAAAGGGCTCTGTGCCTCACCGGGATGATTTGGGGGATGGGCGGTTTCTGGGGTTGGTTGTGGGTGCTGGCTATGTCCCTGTCTGGTCCCCATGTGAGTTGCTCCATGTAGGATTTTCTGTTCTGAAGTATTGCCTTTGTGTCAGGAGTACATGGGGTCTTGTTTTCATTCGATGGCTGGGGGGTGGGGTGGGGTGGGGGTCCCCTAGCCCTTTGGGACATGATTTTCAGCCTCTGGCTGCTTGGCTGGGGGCTTCCAGAGGTGGTGCGGGTTGCAGTGAATCTTCATTTATGTGGGCTGCAGGTGGCGTTGCTGTGCGGGCCCCCGGGACTGGGCAAGACCACTCTGGCGCACGTGATTGCACGGCACGCAGGGTACTGTGTGGTGGAGATGAATGCCAGGTGAGAGGCATGCGCCCCACTTCTGGGTCTCCTGTCTGCTCTGACGTGTGTGATTGGATCTGGGCCGCAGCCCCGAAGCCCAGGCTGTGGTTTCTGTCTTGAGGGTGGGCCAAGAGAAAGATGTCCTTCTTCAGGGCTCTTGTGGTGACCTCACAGTTCAGGCATGGCAGCTCTGGCTTTGGGGGCTGTCCTGCTGAGGCCACGGCTGCCCCA